AAAAAGAAAAAGTTAAACATAGTATTACTATACGATCCAGCAATTCTACTCCTAGACCCATAACCAAGAGAAATGAGAACAGGTGTACACATATAAACTTATATGCAAACGTTTATAGCAACACTATTCATAACAGCCAAAAGGTGGAAACTCAAAAATCCACCAACAGATGAATGGATAAACAAATTGAGGTATCCATGTGCAATGGAATACTACTCAGCCATAAAAACGATGTACTGATAAACGCTACAACTTTGTAGAACACGTGATGCTAAGTGAAAGAAGCCAGACACAAAAGGCCACGTATTGTATCCCTTTTATATGATATATCCAGAATAGGCACAACCATAGCAACAGAAAGCCAATTAGAGGCTACCATTTGGGAGGAAGGGGGAATGGGGAGTGATTACTAAATGCATACAGGGTGTTCTTCAGGGATAGAGAAAAAAACTGAAACTAGACAGAGGGAATGGTTGTATAACACTGTGAATATACCAAATACCCCTGAATTGTACTCTTTAAAATGGTTAATTGTATGTTATGTAAATTTTACCTCAATCTAAAACAAAACAAAGCAACTCTCTTTAGTAAAGAAAAAGGACCCAATTTGATTTCATAAGTTAACAGAAGTTTCATGTAGGATGGAATTAGAATGGGTTTCTCAGCATGAAAATGTAAAAATTTCACAATTAAGGTCATAAACAAAACCTTCAGACCAAAATATTACCATATGATTTAACAACAGAATCTAACATTAGTTTAACTCTGCTTTTTAAGGCAGCTAAATGCAGAAAGACCAAGATATCCTTGTTCAGCAGTGATGGCTTTTAGGACTATGGAGATATTAATACTAGCTTGAATTTCTCAAACAATTTTCCATTGTAGGTCTGCATATATAGGGCAGAACAAAAGATGCTCTGAGGGTCTTCTAACTCAAGAATTCCACAGATACAGATCTGTTGGGCTAGAGAAGTTTCCCAGCACCTGCCTTCTGCATGTCGACAGGCAACAATCTACAGAGACTTGCTGGGCTGGGTAACTAGTACGTCACACTACTGGAGAAAGAATTTTGATGAAAAATCTGGTCAGAAGGATTGGTCCTGGCTTGTGCAATCTATAGGCCTAACCCTTAAAATTCTATTATTTTATAAAGTGGTTCTTTTTTCTTCTCTAATTTTTTATTTATTGTGGCAAAATATACATTACAAAGTGATTCCTGAAGGAATGTTCTCAGAGAGGAGAGCCTGTACTTTAGGTATGTGATTCAGTCACAGGAAAACAAGCTTGAAACCAGTAGGACATGACTTCTCAGAAGCTTAGGTAAGGGCTTGCAAAACAGTAGGGGACAAAATTTTTTTACGTTTATGACAGTCAAAATTTACTTTACATTCACACTTTTACGATCCTTTTTCTAAACAGAGCTATTCCCAGAGTGTTCCCATGTTGGCTTATGATTCATGTTTTCAGCACTTCTGGGCAATACCTCATCCACTTGATTTTGTGTCTGCTGAAGTCTTCTACTACCGCCAGAGGCAGCGCTTGACCCTGCAGGCGCGCTTGTAGTCCTGAAACATGTAAAGACACAAGCATGAGTAAATTAGGATTCCGAACACACTTCTGTAAGTATGAAGATGTAGTGGAGAAGCCTCAGTGTTAGGAATCTCAGAACTAAAGCAGAAAAAGAAAATCCTTCCTGCATCAATGAACAGAGGTTCAAATGACACCTCTTCTAATTCCTCTATAACTTTAAAGATTCACCCACATGTTCAAAGGGACCAAGGTCTGAAGTGAAGGTTTAACAGGATCTCCTTTGTGTCACTGAAGGACCTGATCCTAAGATAGGTAAACTCTGCTTTCCCATTTTTTATTACTTGTTTTAAGACCTACACCTACTTAAAGGCACTCAGTACTCTTCTGAGCTTTTCACTGTGGCAAGAATGGTCTTCATAGTTATGAACAATTATAGAATGCCCTTTATCCAGTATGGAGAAATAGATTCAGTTAGAGAAACAGAGTCAGAAACACCAGGATGTGGGGTTGAGGGGGCGTCAGGGGGAAAGGTAAGATGAAGCAATGCTCCCTCTCTTAAGAGGTACTTCTTTCAAAATCCTCATCAAATTCTTTATTTTTCCCCCGGACAGATCTTTTTTGACCACTCTGGCTTTGAAGTCCTAATTGCGTCCATGACTTGGCAATGCTTTGGTTTTTCAGATATAGAAATATATAGCCTTGCCTTCTCTAATAGATCACAGACTCCTGTGTCTTAGAGGTCTCTTCCCCGTGTCTTGCACACAACGGCCACTGATTCACTGATTCAACCGACAGTTATTTTATACCTACCACGCGTCAAAGACCAGGGATGCAGCAGATCCCACCCCTACCCTCAGAGAGTTTATTGTCTGATCAATAATAGCGAAGGGCCATGTACTGGTGCATTTTCTCCAAGCATTTTCTCATTTAATCCTCAAACTCTTTGAGGGGGACACTACTATTAACCTCATTTCAAAGATGAGTAAAGTAAGGTTTAGAAAGTCCACACCGCTGGCTGCAGTGGAGCCTGTGTTTAGACCAGGTTCTGTATAATTCTACGGATCTCAGTTCTAACCACCGCGATCTACTGGAACAGCAGCCTCAAGCAGGAACACTCCAGAGGGGTGGCCCTAGTTCCTGGAAGGAACCCTGCGAAAGCACCCATTCCTTCCTCCTCTGTAGGTGAGGAATGAGCAGGTTGGAGAGGGGACACAGGGTCCTGGTGAATCTTGACACTTAGCGTTCTGGGAATGTTACCACGGGAAACTCCACGTTTTCAAGTACAAGAATGCTTCTGCTTAAAAAGAGAGCGGAGGCGCACAGCTCTGCGCCAGACTCCACTGTGACCGCAGGTGCCTTCACACAGGGCCCAGGTCTTTTCCCTTGCAACTTCCGGAGCCCAGCCCAGGCACCAGGCAGCGAGCAGGCTCTGCAGGACGAGGGCAATGGTCACAGCTCCCCTTATGGAACTTGGTTGCGGGGAGGGGTGGGTAGGAGGAGAAAAGGGGAAGCGGAGGGGCGGGGGCGGCTCTCCCTACCTCCGGAAAACCCCGGCCGCCCCGCCCTCACCCCTTCCGCGTCCGCCCGCCGGCCGCGGCGCCTTCCGGGGCGGCCGGCGGCGCCGCGGGACCGACCTGGCCCGTCTGCAGTCCGCACCCCCGGGGCCTCCACCCGCCCCCAGGCCTCGGGAGACCCCCGCGAAGGCCCGCGCGGCCTGCGCCAGCGTCCGAGAGGCGGCGGACGGGAACCGGGCCGGGCGGGGGGGGTCCCAGCAGCGGGCCGCCGCCCTCCGGGGCCGAGGCCGCTCCGCGTCGCGCCGTGTCACTCACATTATGCAGCTGCGGCAGCGGGCGAGGATCGGCGGACCGGCGCAGCGGGACAGGAGACCTGAGACCTCAGACCTGGGCGGGGCGGCGCGGGGGCGGTGACGTCACCGGGATGGGCCGATGGGTGGGCGGGGCGCGCGCGGCCGCGAGGGGGCGCGCCGGAAGGGGCGGGGCGTTTCGGGCGGGGCCACCCCATATCGCTGAGGCAGGTCTCTGGGCTGCAGGTTCATGTCCTTGCCGCCGCCGGTACGGATGCTGAGGCACGTGGTGCATTAGGCTCTGAAAAGGGACTGTGCAGATAAATGAAGGTGGGGACGTTTTACGTTATTCTGGGCCCGTGGGTCATTTCTCTGGCCCTGACAGTACTGGAGACAGCCCATGGGCTTCCGCTGAACGTGCCGCATTAACCCGGTGGTCCTGGAGACCGCCGTATTTTCCCAAGAAACTTGTCAAAATGAGGGGGGATGTTCATTCAGGGTATTTGTCACAGGCTTTGATTGGATTAGGTTCCCTCTCTTCGTGTGTTCATTTGTGACACATGTATTTTTCACTGCACACATCTTATTATAATCTGTTTATGGGAGCCTTGACACGAGGGACTGTGCTTTCTACGTTTCTGTATTTCCGGACCCCCAAGCACAGAGTAGGTCCTCAACTTTTGATTTCGGGTTGAGGCTGAGGCAAAAATCTGAGTGCAGTGAGTTACCGTGCAAGGTCTTGAAGTTGTTACTGAAAGTATTCCTATCAACATCGGCAACTCCTACATTAAACAAACAAAACACCACACAACACCAGTAAGTCAACTGGCAGATCAGATGAGAAATGAAAATAAACACCAAACTGTCTTTTCCAACTCTAAATGGCATAATTTGAAAAGGGAAATATTAGTGTATATTAGAATAAACAAGAGAGTGTCACAGAGGAGGTGAGATTTGAGTTGGGTTAAGTAGCTAAACAGAGAACTTTCCAGGCATGGAAGAAACAAACATCATGAACGAAGAAACAGTGGACATGGACATGGTTTGAACAGACCAACCAGGGTGTGCAGGTTGGGGCATAGGTGAAAATAAGGCCGAATAAAGATTGAAGATAAGCAAGAAAGGCAAATGCCTTTTCAGTGCAGTGGGTTGTAGAAACCATCAAGGCCTCGCGGATCTGGGAGATCTATCACGCAAAACCTCTCTGGCAGCAGCAGTGGGATGGATTAGATGGAAGAGGGACCACCAGGGAGACAAAAGATGAGGCTCTGCAGTGAAAGGGAATGAGACTGATGACGGAGCTCTTGGAAAGGAAGGCTGGTATTAGTAGTCAGATGAAAAGTGGCTTTTAAAAAACTGCAAAGGGTTTTAACTGAAAAGGTGAATTCAGATCGGTGTCTTTATCTCTCCAGTAACTGCCCTTAGTCAAACGACTGATAGGTTGAGCGATGACTGAGAAGATACTTGACAAGTAATTGTTTTAGGAACAGTGGCTCCAGTGAGAAACTTTTTCTTTCCTGTACAGATCTGAAACTATGTATCGTTCGCGGTCAAGACACTGTATCGGGATAGAAGGAAATATTTGAAATGATTTCATATGGTGTGAAACGTGCTGATCACCTTGGATTTCAATATCAGTTGAGTTTAAAGCAAAACACACATAGTATGGGGAAATTTTCTTCATTTTTAATTTACAGCAGAAAGAATATAAAGCATTCAGAAAACATTTTCCATATTTTAAGGGCAATTCAAAACATTTTGCATGGTTTCCAGCAGCTGAGTTCTTCAACAGATCCATTGATTCAATGATGCTTTACATGCACAGTTACAAAAATAAAACTTACAAAAAAGAAGACATCTAGACTAGTTTTACATGCAAGTCTCAGGGACCCCCCATTGGGCGCCAACTACTGTGTGGAACTGCCATAAGCGACCGTGCAGCCAGAGAGGGGTTCTAGTTATTGTCTCGATTTCGTTCACACAGTACAGCTGATTTCAAATGGGTAACAAGAATAGCAATTAAATCTTCAGGAGACAGAATAAGATTAGCTATTAATTTTATAATGAAATCCTACTCCTGGCACTTGGGAATTTAGATTATCCAAGAAAGCTGCGTTTACCTATCATCTTATATTCAAAAATTAAGATTCACAACCGAGAAAAAGCGGTCAGAAATGCTTCGTTTCAGTGGAAGTGCATTTGTACCTCACCTGGGATTCACAGTTGTACTGGTAGGTTACACGGGTAGGTTTCGAACCTACTTCTATGCCCTCCATAAGAACGCTCCTAATTCTATGTCAGTCCTTATCTTTCAGATTCTCTAACTTACTCAGCTAATAATGTAGCATGTGAAACATTAAAAAAAAAATGAGCGTTAAAGCAAATCCACTGAGGTCATTACTCTTGTCAAAAGATCGGTTATTTGTACCAAGATGGAATAAACATACCCAAATTCAGTATTAATAAAGGATATTCTGAAAGAGCTGGCTTTCACGTTCTCTTCCCGTCGATGAATGCAACTGTGTGTTTGTAAGTGTCCTCCTATAGGTCAGATTGTGTAAAATAATAGGTATTTGGGGGACTGCAACAGCTGCAACATAACCCACACATTTAAAGACAAAATTGAGTCAGGTCAGTTTACAAATGTACAGGTGGCTGCTAGTTGTGGGGCTGTCACTGTCATCAAAGCTGATCACAAGCAGTAAGACGTATACTGTACAGTAATTCGAGGTTGGCAGTGAAAGGAAGTAATTAAAAAACAAGTACAATTATAGAAAAGGCACCAAGAGCACTGACCCCAGTTGTTACCACAATCTTTTTGTATCTACCTTCCTTCTAAGACACCAGTTTAAAAGCTGATTTGTGAATATTTTTAGGCTTCACAACAAGCCTCGAGTTTTCACTTACAGTTGGCAGCCAGAACCAAGGGGGAAAAAAACTAGTCTCTCAGCTTTACACCAACTGATCCTGAAACTTAACCTGGGAATTTTAAACTGGCATCAGCAAATGCGAACTTTATTCTCTCGATTTAACATTAGTAGTTGAGTTGTTAAAAGCATCAGATTTCTTTGGTTCCTCATTATGTGGAAATAGTAATCATCTACCATGACATCCCTACGAGACCAGTTTGCACTCTTTTAATTTGTAGTTACTTTTTGTGCAATTTTTATTCCATTTTCTGATTTCCAGCAGGAGATATGAAAACATGAGTCATTTTTCTACTTTTCATCCTATTTCTTTTGTCAGGTTTTGACCGTTCTAAGTGTTCTTTGTTGGAGTGAGTGGATGGTGTTAAGCTATATACTGATTCATCTCATGATTATCTGTTTAGCAAAAGTAACTTAATTTTTTAAAGCAATATCAGCATTCACATTACTTGGCACCATTGGCAAAAAAAGAATTTAAATAAAATAAAATAAACTCCTGGTAGCCCAAATTAAATGTAAACATACCCTTTTTTTTTTAAGTAATGTCACTCTGCCTTTTCTCCTAAGTCTTAATACAGTAGCTCTTTTTTTTTTGCAGTTTAGTCATGCTTTAGCAAAATGTTCTTCTAAAGAACATTTAAAATAAAGTACTCTTATAGTGAAATAAAGGTTTTTTTTTTGTTTCATTTTACAGACCATAGCCACTAATGCTTTGCTTTTGTTCATTTCTTTTTTCTTGATTTCATGCACATATCTCTTTGTTTTAATATATACAATATATACAAACAATACATCCAGTTTTTCTCGCTCATTCAGACAAAACTATACAAATAATTTTATCTTGCCATGTTATTGACCTTTGTGAATAAAATATTTAGCAATTAATATAATCCCTTTCAAATATTTTCTCACTTTCCATTTCTACCTTCTATATATACACAGAAACTGCTCAGGTTGGATGAGATATAGCCAAAAATATGGGATTTACTGGCCAGAACGCAGCACCACACTGATCTTTTAGGTGGCAAATGTCCAGGCAAGGTTTATGATTCCTTAGAATGACTACAGTTTCCGAGGCTCCTAAAAAAAGCTACATGCTTTACCAATTCTCTAAGTAATTCTCATTGCACGTGAAAGTAAGGCAAAAAAATTAAAGTGCTGAACATGAGAAAAGGGACAAGATGATGACTATCCTCGCAGGTTCTTGGGAGGTGGTGGGGACAGAAAATAAATTTAAACTCTGTACGCTGTTATTCATCATTTCCCACGCATTACCCGTTTACCACGCACCTGCCCCTCTGCAAATTTCCACAAGACATTAATAACCTGCAGATTTTAAAAGTTGCATTAAGTGTGCTGTAAAGATTGAAACACAAACAGACAAATTAAAATCAACTAAACACAGTGAAGGAAATGAGAACACACGGACCCAATAAAGATTTGTATGATCTAAGCCCTCCACTGAGAATCAATCCCAAAGATTCAGCTTCTTGGAAATAACTGACAGGTGCAGGAACAGCATTCTCTTTGTTGCTAGTGCATCCCCACCTTTTCTTATCTATATTTTTGGTATAAATATTTGTACAGTTCCACACGATGTTTGAATACAGCCCTATGTGAGAAGGAAGACGGCTTCTTCCTAAGAGGAGGAAAGCCTCTTTCGATTCCTCGTGGTGTCTTGTTTGCCCATGATCCAACAGAAGATTGAATTCCAAGATGTCTTGCTGATCAAATTAAAAGTTGTCCATGAAAGTGCAAATGCAATGACCAAAACATTCCTGTTAAAATCCTGCAGCTCATCTCCCCAAAACTGCAGAGGGATTATGTTGTGTGTGTGTGTGTGTGTGTGTGTGCGCGTGCATGTGTGTGTGTGTGTGTGTGTGTGTTGTCGCATGTCTCTCCTAAAAACAGAAATGAAAACAGTCTGAAAAGCAGTGTCACATTGCTAAGGGATGCTGCTGTATGTCTTCAAGTTCCTTGGCCTTTTTCAATTCTTTCACTCTGGAAGAGAAACAAAACAAAAGACCAGGTGATAACTATAGAGTGAAACTGTCACCACATAAAGGAAAGGGCAGGGCCATTCCCCCGGAAGTGAAAAGCCAAGACAAAAACCCTTCTGAGGGTTGATGGCAAAGGAAACTCCTGTGAAATTGCTGGGGAAAATATTCCAGGAGGAAGACTGGACCCTTCCTGAAACTTTGCTCTATATCAAGACCTCTACACACAAAGCAAAACCGAAGTTGACTGCATTAAATGAAGTGTAACAATAACATGCTCATTGTAGAAAAAAGTTCATTGCTCAAATAACTTTCTTTTTAGCCTGGTGGACCCCTGTTAATGCCCTGTAATTCCATAGGATGCAAGTTAGGGAAACTGCACACACGTTTATTTAGCTTTGGATACACCTAGGGAGTAAGTTGTTGTTTTGCTCACAGACCCAAGATCGTGAGCTGTCTTGAACCTGACCGCTCATCTGCACAACTCTGACTTCGCTCATGTGATCTGCGGTCTTTTTGATTTTCAGAATTGCTTACTTTCCTCCCATTCCACATTGTAGCTTTAAAAGATGTTCAGGTCACTCCCCCCAGTGCCCCCAGATGGACAGCAACAGGGTGCAACACCAGTAAGGTACTTCGTTCTGTTTATCAAACGTGTTGTGGTAAACAAATTTAAATTGCTATAAATAGAGTCATGGAAAGTTCACATTGGCAAATTATTTGTCAATGACCAGTTTCAGTCGATATGTTTTAATATAAAAATTTGCCTTGGCTTTTCAATATGGCCACTTGATGCAGATGGGGTACCTGGGAAGAGATTCCAAGCTGTAAGAATGTATTTCTCTTTATGGACAAGTAACTAAGAGCTTGCCTGACTATGAGAATGATCAAATGCAAATGTGACTTCAGGGTCTCACTTCTGAAGTCAGTGTATGCCCTGTAAGTCACAGATGGTTTGTAGCACTGCATACCATATAATAACATTTGCTAAAAATGGGTGCGAGAGGATGATTTTAGCCAAATAGAAGTGGCAGTTTCTCGGGACACATATACTCTACCTCAACAGCAAGACAAGAAAAGAATCTGATTTGTTTTCCTAATATGGACCTATACTGAGGTCAATAACTCCCAAATATAGTTTTCTGGTTCTCTAAGAGTAGGGCCTCTTTGTTATCTTAAGTTATACCAGTAAATTTAAATTTTATTTTAAAGTGAATGCTAGTTTCCTTTCTAGGGAGCACTCATGTGGAAAGAAAACATTTTGAAAAACCAGTAATAAGTTACTGCTCTATTACCTAGGTTGGCATTCAGTGGAATGGCGTATGTACTATAATAGCAATTTAAGAAAATTATATTTACCACCTCCAAGCAGAATCGTTTCTGAGAATTCTGCCAAGTTGATACAATCTCTTCAAAGAGAAGATGCTCTCTTTCAGAAAAAAAGCTTTCTCACTTTATCAATACTAAAAAGAATTATAATGTTTGAAAACGTACTTATTTGTCTGATTATTTACTAAGTACACCAAGCTCAGCTTGATCAAACAGTATATCTTCGAAACTATTAAAGCCTTCTTTCTTAATAGGTACATTTAGAATACATTGTTATATTCGTAACTGGATCCAGGTATTATTTAAACTTTAGAATTAAGTATACTATGGATTATTAAATTTTCAGGTGACTTGGATCATATTGCAGTACAGATATGTGCATCATTATAGGTCCCTAATTTTGGACATGCATACTTGATAAATGGCTTTTTAAAAATTGAAACATGCTATATTCTGTGTTCAATTTTTAAACATGCAATATCTATACTAACAGCCCTTTGGCTGGAAAAATGCAAGGCATGCACTGATGCCACCTTTACTTCTGGGCATGCAATGTATCTGTACTTGTGCAGACCTCCTTGCTGAATTACGGCAAAATGTGCATGCTACTTCAAATACGACATTTTATTTCTGCACTAGTACAGGACTCATTCACAAATGTGCAACAGAGACTCCATCACTGATGAGATTTCTAGAATTTGAAGAATTCTGAACTCAAAGCCTGAGAGCATAAACACAAAGATCTCCATTCACAATTTTGCTAGCGTGAACAGGAAGGCTTTAAAAATCTTAAGTTCATCATTGGGATGAAATAAAAAGGAGCGTGAACTATGAACCAGAAATGTTTTATATAGTTTCATACCAAAGAGTCTGTAACCAGCTGGTCGCGGTGGGTATAACATAAACTTTTTTTTTTTTAGTTAAAATGGTCACATTTGTTTCTGCAGTTTTTTTGGCAGTTTCTTTCTGAGCTAATTAAAATGTCAACTAAGTTTTCATAAGGTTTTAAAGTTACCACGTAAACACTCTGCTATAAGGCTAGTGTTAGCCTCACATAGCATTAAGTTAAGGAGAGATGCACGTCCACACACAGAATGACCATGACTGTCTATTCAGGAAAAATGAGAAATTCCAATTTTCAGACATTCCAATTTTCTAGGCTTTCCTAACTCCTGAACTCCACTGGAGAATTTAGTTTTTAGTTTCATTACGCAGTTTTCACAGTCTACTAGCGTTAGAAATACATAATATTGAAATGAGTTAAAAATGGCACAGGAAGTTTTTTTTTTTTACGGGAAGTTGTTAAAGGAGAAATTAGGAAAAAAGGAAGAGAACACTGATGTTCCAAGAGCTACATGGGTTCCTTAGTATGTGTTGCGTTATTTTAGTCCTCACAATATCAGAATCATCTCCAGTTCATAAACGTAGAACCTGAGATTTACAGGAATTGAGCAACCTACCTCAAATTATATAGTTAATAAATGGCAGAGTGGGGATTTGAAGCCAGGTTTGTCTGACTTCACTCCTCCACTCTGCTGCCTCAAACAGTATCTCAGGGCGACAACAAGAAAAAAACATTTTTAAACCCAATTCTTATTTTATTGCTTTTCCTAAAAGTCTGTACAAAAATACATGCATTTGGAAAATTTCCATGGCATGAGATGAGTACGTTGTTGAAACTGGTGATGACAATTACATTTTCTCAATTCTAAGACGTCATCCTTCATAAGACCCTATGTTGATTCTATTACAATGTTTTGGAGGAAAAAAAATACCTCCACATAAAACGTACTTATGAATTTTACGACTGAAGTAGATCTGAAACATGAAAAGAATGGGTCTAAGAATCAAGGCAACCGAAGACTTTTAGCCTCATTCTCCAATTTGCAGATCATATTGGTGTTAACTTACCTCTGCAAGTTTAGATGAACTTGAGAGACTTTTACAGTCTGCACTACTGAAATCACAAGTGGAGGTTTATGTTACTTGAGGGTAGATTATTAGGATAAGACAGCGGTGCCTAAATTTTTGTTTTGTTTTGCTTTAAATCAAATGTCAATTGGGTAAAATATGTTTGACTGTGATGCTGCCTCCAAAGGAACAGAAGACAATTAATTCTGTTCACTGAAGTGAATGAAAACAGCATCTGATACTAGAACTTTTGTTAGTACGTTCTAAGAGACAGATGTTTCAAGTCAGAGCGTTTCAAATAGTCACAGAGATGTGTGGCCGCCTTGTCTCAGTCATTCAAGACACGAATAATGACTAAAAGGCATAGGTTAACTGAAAATGCCTCTACCACGAGAAAGATACAAAAAGTTTGACAGTTATCATCTCTGGGTGATTTTCCTTACTAATTTGTATTTCCAAAATGTACTACAGTGAGTATGTGTTTCCTTCACAATAATTATTTCTGCTTGTCATTCTTTAAAAAAATTTCTAAGATGTTTTTCTATCCATCTGTTACTACTACTGTTTCTTACAAATGTTGTAGTCACGTGACATAAAAGAACAATTGAAAAGTTCAGTGGAGGGGAAAAAAAAAATAAATTTTATAGACCAAAACCAAAAATCGATTGAGCTAGTTTCATTGATATTACCTATATTGTAAACATATTTTCAGTGTGAAAACTTGGTAAAGGTAGAGCAGAATTTTTGAAATTGGAATGATACTTGAAAATTCTGTACCTGTAGTCACTGTATCTATAGAACTGAGAATACAGAGGTCCAGTAAACTTCTGTTACATTACGTTACACACACTCAGCTAAGGGTTACTGAGTTTTGGATTCTCTTAAAGAATTGTAAGTGTTAGCCTCATTCAGGGCTAGGAAAGAACTGAGTCTAATAACGTCCAGGTTATCTAAAAACAAATCCCGTGATAATTACACTTACTTCTGAATTTCCTCACATGGAAGACAGGCAGAGCAGTCTTCCTTGAGACTGTGAAGACAATTAATACAACATAGGAGCTGTGGCTTCTGTGGGCACAAGGCAATTGCTACTATAAGGAGAGCTGCCAGGACCACGTTTCTGAACTGTGCATCACTAACTTCGAAAATGGTGCTCGTGTTCCTGGCTTGAATTACGGTAATTAGAATAGCACGACTTCGACCTGTGACCATCCAACTATTAAAATTAAAGACAAGCCCAGGGTTTCCCCCAAGCACTCTATAGGCTGAAAATAATCTTTCGGATATTGTTGCAGTCTCAGCTCAAACCCAAACCCAAACCATGTTGCATTGTAATGTACTGAAGTGATGTGGTAAGCAACAGCACTGAAAGCCAGCAGAAGCCCACGGGGTTTCTTTCCATCAGACGTCCCATGATCGTTTATGGATAAATGAAGTAGGCCTGCTTCAGAGACTCGTAGCGAACAATGGCTCCATGGGTAAAGCATTAGGCAAAGCGGCTTCGTTAACATCTACTCAGTAATGCTCAGCCAGGGAAATGTGTCATGAGTCAGTGGACTTTGGCAGGTATATTCTCGCAATGCTGGACGTCAGAAATATACAGGGCAGCCAGATGCGGCTCTCTGCTTAGTTACCTGTTGCTCTGAGAGCTGCAATAGCTCGTGGGGGGGGTTTAGGAAAAGAGAGGTCTTGCCATTTTCCAGAAATCTCATTTGGATTGCAAAACAAAAAAGACAGAGAGGCCCAATAAGAATGACACAGAGCATGTTGTCTGCAATGTAACACACGCCACTGTGTTCCCCAAAGATTCATTTCCTAAAAGAGGCAAGTAAGACAGAATTACTTTGGAGATTTAAATTAGATGACGCACCCCACCTTCATCGCTTACTCCTTACCGAGCAGACTGGGCCATTTGGAAACCACACCTCACGTCAAATTTAACTACGGAAGTGTGACATCCAAGCTGTTGACAGAGCACTGTTACTTTTCTCAAACAGTTCACTTGCAGGCATTGTTAGAGAACTGCCCCTTGGACCAACGTGTAGAGAACAACACAAAAAGTCTAAGTGTGACCCGCAGAACTTGCTAGTGACCCACTGAAGATATTTTGCAGGGCTGCTCTCAAGAATCGGTGCTGTCCACGCTACTTACCAAGATAACTAGCAGCATCTGGCCCCGTTAAGTGTTTGGAAACCCAGTTGTCAAATAGAGAGAAAACCTGTTGTTTAAAAATTGGTGACCAGAAAGTGTTATCTCTTCTTCCTCCAATCAGGGCTCTTTTTATTCCAGTTGGATGGCTTCACCCACCTTTATTGAACATGGGTAACTAGGCCAGCAATTTACAAGAGATCGGTTATTTCAATACCAGGAGTCTTACTGTTTACAGTACCTGCAGGGACTGTTTTAGGTTATAAAGCCCTCTCACAGGAATCTGATCTCACTAGGGAAAGAAGAAATTTGTCTAAGGCATTGTCCTTTCTAGTCTCAATACCTTGAGGACAAACCTGTTATATAATTCAGCTCTTTACTATTTCCTTTACACCTGAGGCATCTTGGTTTTCTGCTGTAACACTGAATAACACCCTGTTCAAGATATTCAAAATCCAACTGGAATATAGCATTCTCAGCCAGAGCACTTAAATATTTCTTCAACCTTAGAAATCCTTCAGTCATTGGCTGAACTAGTATAACACCTAAGTGAACTAAGAAAAATAATTAAAACTGTTGATGCAAACATCTCTCTGTGTATAATGTTTTCTCTTGACAAGTTATTGTGTCCAAGACAAAACAAATCCCTTTGACGGTATTAGGAACTGGATGACTTCATTTTAAGTTACTGGGTAAATTAGGGGCCAAGTCTGGAGGAACGACTGAGTGAAAATGAGCTGGCTTCGGTGAGGACCATTGGGGGCTTTTTCTTAGCTTTCCCTGAGGCTGAAAATTTGAAGACACATTGGTATTTTCTGATTGCTCTGCTGCTGGAGTTAGCCAGCTGGACCCTAATTCTGATAATTGACGTCACCTCCCCTTTTAGACATCCTGCTGCTTCATTAACTTAAAAGTTGGGGTCAAAAAAAAAAGGCTAAAAAAAAAGTTGGGGTCAAATCATATGTTACACGTACTGTACCGTAAAATGTAATTCTTCATTTTTCAAATATTATCTTCGGATAGGTAAACCTTAAATGTCTTAAATATGGTATACTTTATACACTGGTAAGTATATTAGCTTCTTTGACACAAATTCCAGGAATATAAATCCTCCTCGGAGAATGTCCTGCCTCCCAAGGGTAACTTCAACTTGGGGACTCTTGGAGGACCATCATGACTTCTCCGATGGATGAGAGATCCTACTGGGAATTAGACAAGACACAGCTAAGCTGTTCCTCAATTCATACGTTAGAGAACAATGACCACACTGGAAGAAACCTGAAAGCTTCTGAGTTCCTCTCTCTCAAACCCCCTAAGACTGAGTGGCATAGAGGATGTTATGAAAATCCAACTTTCCACGCATGAGGAGGAGTTTTAGGAACTCACAGCGGAATGCAGCGAGCATTCAGGAAGTTAAGGTGGGGACTCTGGTTGGCATGGAAAAGCACTTTTAGAAAATGTACTCTTGAAAATGATCATTAACATACCAGAACCTAACAGGCTTCAAAGGTGCATAAGCAACCGCTTTTACTAAAATGTTGGATCCTTGCAGCGGACGATATAAATTGCATATAACATGCAAGATACTACAACTTATAGTTAAATTGAATACTAGGGCATGCACCTGTTCTCTGGGAGGATTTTTTCTAATGGAAAGAGATATTATCTATGTATGCAGAGAGAGAGAGGGACTAGAAAAATGGACATTTGTGCCCCCCTTTTCTCTTATATTTCAAACACAGACATCACTGAGCCAGCGCCACTACATGGGACCTAAAATATTTTAATTGTAAGCAACTGTCTAATTCTAGAGAGGTCTGACTAGTTAAATTTACAAAGGCAAGTAGCTGCTTTATTATTATTTTTTTAACAAATTTCTCCTTCAGTGACTATCCATGGTTTTCAACAGGTGAGGCTTCAGACCTTTTACAGGGATAAGGTTTTGATTTAGGAAGAACTTACAAAAACTCAATTCTCCTATCACCCCAGGTTGGCAAACTACAGCCCATGGACCAAGTCCAGCCCAATGCAGGTCTGTGTATAAATACAGTTTTATTAGAACAGTCACAACCATTCATTTTTGGATTGTCTGTGGCTGTTTTCATGTTCCAGTGGCAGAACTAAGAACAGTGGTTCCCCCTTATCCATGGTTTTGCTTTCAAGGTTTCAGCTACCCATTGGTCAACTGCGGTCTGAAAACAGTAAATGAAAAATTCCAGAAATAAATAATTCATGAGCTTTAAATTGTGTGCTGTTCTGAGTAGCATGGTGAAATCTCACACTGCTCCACTCTGTCCTGCCTGGGACGTGAATCATCCCTTTGTCCAGCGCATCCACACCGTATACGCTACCTGCCTGTTAGTATAGGAGAAACATAGTGTGTATGTACACGTATACATAGCATTCGGTACTATCCACGGTTTCAGGTATCCACTGGGGGTCTTGGAACGTATCCCCCATGGCTAAGGGGGAACTACTATATTGCAACGGACATTTATTATCTGGCCTTTTAAGGAAATGTTTTTGGACACTTGGCTTAAACTATAGTGAATAAATATTACCATCAACATAAATGTAGTGATACGGGAAATGATCTCTCCAGAGACATTAGAAGTTGGAGATTTTTTTCTGAAGCACGATCTTTTCTTTGAAATCTTGCCAATGACCAAATACGGTATTAGTGTAAGGTGAGAAGGGAGGGTGCTGGATGTAGCTGAGTTGATAGAGCTAACCGCCATGTTATATTTTACCTTAGTTTTTTGTCACGTTAGATTTTAAATGCACCTTCTCTTAAGACAAAAGTTGTCAAGTTAATCTAAATTCAAGTGTGAGTTTGGTGAGTTCAATTCCTGGCTTTTAAAAACCAGTTTTCTGCCAGTAAACCGTTTATTATAACTTAAGATGTGTTACAGTCACGTCTTCATACTTAGAAATCTGCATCACATTCTAAAACCTCATGGATGTCCGTTGAACACCCACTCACTATCATTTCTTTAAAACACAGATTCTCTCGGAACATCCAATCTTGACTGCAATATAGAATATACAGATTTCGGACACTTCACACCACCCTGTCTTTCTTCAGCGCTGTCATTAAATGCTGGAAGTCAGGTTTGTTCCCTATTGGATCATGAATGTCCTGAGTTGGTTCAGAAAGGGCAGCTCTGGGTACTGACTTACCTCACAGCACCAGGGAAAGGGAGAGTTAGAAAATGAAACTATGTAACTCTAAACAAGAAATAGATGAGTTAAAAGAAAAGCAACAGTATTGCCTAGTGAGCCTTTTTCCTTTAGAAATTTTGACACGGCAGTAGTCAAATTTCATGTGGCAGATTATTTTCATCGCAAATAACCACTTGCTTAAGGCTTTGTTCTAGTGCAGCCTTGTTGAGATTTAAACTTGTCCCACCAGCCACTGTTTTTTTTACACTGAAGGCTTCTCCCACCAAGTGCTACGCATGCCCTGCGGTGGCTTCAGAAGGCCCTCCCTTTCACTTGCTCATGCATTTGTATGTCTATGGTTGTATGTGACTGTTTTCCTGTTGTATAAAGTAGCAGTGTTAGTAATTAGGGTTAGTTTTTATCTTATTTCATTCGAAATGGATGTGAAACTTTACGGGCATACCTAGACTGCAGCCCCATGCAAGCAAGCAAAAAGCAAAATATTGAAAATGGAAGATAAAGAGAAACTGGCTAGCAGGCAGCTAAACTCACCCTTTTGTACAGCCTATGGTCCACCAGGGGGCTTTGGACAGTAAAACAACACCAAAGAGCTATTAGCATGTGAGGGTCACAACAGAAATCTTATAAATAGCTTTATTTCAACAAAAAAGACTATAAAGGGTTCCTTTTTTGGTTGTTTTTGGAAAAAAAAGAAAAGGAGAGTGGTGGTGGGATATGTGAAATGAGCAGGTAGGAAATTCACCAATTTATTTTTTAGTCTAAAAATGTTGGGGTCCATGACTGAGCAAAATCCTTAAGGAAATGGGACACTTCTTATTGATTCCTGAAGCCACTTCCTACCTACCTTTTCTGAGAGGGTGTCACATGAGGTTTCCTATTTTAATGCTTCTAGGGGACAACACAGATGACAGTTTCTCTTAAAATAATATTCAATAACCCAGAATGGCAACAGGGTGACACTCATTCTAGGGAAAATGAGTTCAAACTTCCAGGATAGATTTTTCAAGATTTCTTCAGGTTCCTTCATTGAATATATGGGAATGGAAAGTGAATAGTGACCTTACACAGTCAGTAGACAAAGGTTTTATTCCAATTTGCCTGCACATTTTTCTAGCATCTGGAATATCAAAGGGCAAGCAAAGAAAAGAGCCAGTAGGGGTCATTGTTTAATCCCAAATAATGAACAGAAATTCAGATCCATAATCTGATGCTCTCTTCATAAAAAAACTTATTAGCTTCATGAGGATATTACTGGTTAAAATATGGACCAAAGAAAGGCAAAATCCTCATGAAATGCTTTTCTACTTGTTTACAAAAGGAGAACTCTAAAAACATGAGTGAGACGATTCCTTCGTTCAGCCTTCTGTGGGAAGCAGCCTTTCAGGCGTTTATGTTTTGCTTAAATATCTTACCCTCTCAATTCACTCAGTTCACCAAATGTAAACATGGTAGGCTTTGGCCAAAAAAAAAAAAAAAAGAAGAAGAAGAAGAAAATGAGCATGGGACTTTATGTAGTTTTGCTCACAATGACCAAGGTGGCATTACCTATACATATTTTCAAAGTTTGAGGATAAGACCAGAAGAACCAAGGAGAATTTAACTTGTGAACATTTGTTTGACGTGGCTTAAGGAAGAGCCGCGTGGAGGCGATTTCCTCGAAGATAAAACCTGCTAGGAAAGCGTTAATCACAGACTCAGCAGTGCTGGATTGAATCCTCCTGGGTTTTTTGTTTCGCAGGAGGAAGAGGAAAAGGGGAGAAGAGTGTGAGCACGTGTGAGAACATATGGCAAAGGGTCCAGGTAAGGCCTTGATATTTTCACCAAAGGAAGAAAATCAACTCCTCTATTTGGCTGCAAGTCCCCTAAGGCTAAGTCAAAGGTATGAGTAAGTAATAAGGAAACAGAGACTGACTTTGGTAAGGCCTGGAGGATTCATTTCATTACGTCCTGGCCATGCCGCATATTCTGATATGCATTTCCTAACAAGACTTGCTATTTCAGAGTATTGATATGGGCACCTCATTGCTTAGCGTCACGGGGAAAACCCCATCACTGCGTGGGTGGAGAGCAAACGCCCTGCGGAGGAATACGGTAAATGTGCATGAGCTGCCCTGGCAGCATTCTAGCTAGAGAACACCGTATATAACCTAAAAAATGTTCCTTTAAAAGTTTTTATCACTGTGCATGTGTGTGGTTCTGTCCACATTCCCTTCCATGGTCATGTAAACGAATTATTTTGTTAATTTAAGTAAAAGTGCACACAAGTAGCCAGTTAACCCCTAGTAAGTCTCAAAGTTAGAATACTGTCAAAGTTAGCAAGTAGACAGTTTGAGGGGAAAAAAAACGAAAGTGAAACCTCTGAGGAATCAAACTGCACCTGGACACTCGGGCTTTGGGTACAATTAAACAGGAAAGAGGAAATCAGACATTAAAGAGCTTGCTTTCAAGTTTGGGTCTGTAAACTGCATAGCTCCCGATGCACAGAGAAGCGACAAAACTACGTGGAGAGCCATCTAAACACAGCTCAGTCGGCCAATGTCACACAGGTCAGGCCGGAATATTAACCCAAGCAAAGAAAAGAAAAACACGGTTCACCAGCCCCCAAAATCTGAGTTAAGGACCTCGTCTTCACCAAGGCATCCCAAACTCAGGAAAACAAAGAGAAACTCCCCTGGCGTAGCTCTGCAGGAAGATGCTGGGGTCACCGGAGCCCACTTCTAGTTGGAAATGCGCCTCTGTCTCGGGTGTGTTTCCTGCCCTGCCCAGTTTCATTCTGACCACCTCTCCTGTTTCTCATCACAGACTAGCTGGAATTGATCACTTGATGGAGGGTGTTAGCTCTGACACGGCCAGTAGAGGGCACCAACTATTTAGTGGAAATTCTACATCAGAAAATTTGGATGGCATTAGTGGTGTCCCAACCTTTCCTTCAGAATAGAAACTCTGTGTCTTTTCTGTTTGGACACACGTTAGCACAGTAAGGGTTTAGATTGAAGAACACACTGCTAAAGGAAAATCTGGAATGAAAAGCCAGTCTGACTAAGTTGTCCTCGCACCCAAATTAAAACAAAAACACTGGCATGATCTCCGTGGTTCAATCTCTACACAGCATCGTCTGGAATAGCGACCGGTATTCTTATGGCAGCAACTCAGTCCCTAGTTAAAGAGTTCTGTTATCCTAGTGTCATTTGGGACGTGTACCCTGATTATTTGTGGGGGATTAGCTTCACCAAGGAGTTCATGAGTGGTTAAGGCGATGAGGGTGGTTTTATTATTCTCGACGAGGAAAATGTCGGGATGAGGGTTAATGTACCTGTGGCGACAGCGGCGTAGAAACCTCATTATTTTTCGAGCAGCCTGGTCCTGCTTTTTGGTTAGCAAACTGCTCCTGAAAAAGCCAGAATATGAATTACTGTCACGAGAAGGTGTAAAGCTTCATGTGCGAAAGTTGAAAGCAGGTCAGCGGTGAGAGAAAACTCTTAACCAAACAGCTCATGTGGCAAATCCAACAGCACAAGCCTATTTTATGGTTCTGAGTCTGGGCATCACTGGGGGAGAAGGAAGGAGGGCACTACATACACTTTCACCTACTTGGAGGGAGATAATAGAAAGACTAAAGATAAGATGTCCTGTAACTGTTCTGTCCCAAGTCTTTATAAGATCGTTTGTTCAAAAAGGCATTAGACGGACTTTCTCGGTTTAGAAATTGATTCGCCTGTGTTTGCCACTCTCTTTGGGCTATTATTTTCTAAACTTCTTTCGTGAGTGTATTTTCCTGTGCTAGAAGTTTTTATTACACTCTTCAAAATGGAGTGGCTTAGTACTTCTTACTCTCCCAAGGTCTTAGGTATAGAAACGCTACAATTTAGACGACTATATTACAGTGCCACCTTTCTGAGTAGGAACTGTGGTCCAGCCAGACTCTGATACAAGGTGAAACTGGGTGGTGGCATCAAAATGATTGGATGGGGGGTGGGCAGAGAGAAAGGAGAAGCTAAATAGACAAAAACAGGCAAAGAGGATAGGTGTAACTCTACAAACACGTGACATCTAGACTGCTCTGGGAAGAAAAGAGCTGCAAGATGCTTTACTCCTTGTACAGGCCTGCGTGTCAACAAGGGGCAGTTCTTTCGACTCAGTTGGGGTTCTCTTGGCCGTCACGAATCTTGACCCACCTGAGTTTCTGCTGTACGATGACTGCCGTCCGCCGAGCCTGCCGTCTCCTGCCACACTTTTTATAACTCCGGTAAAACTTCTGGATCAGCACAGCAGCACGCCGGCTCTGCTGAAATTTTTTTTGTTCGTAGTAACTTCGGAATTTGCTCTGGATCAGGATGGCAGCCTGTGTCATCTTTTTATAAAGTGCATACTGCAGGGGGAACAAGAAGAAGCACAGCAGTAACAAGGGGGGCCACGCAGGCCTGGGTGTCCTCTGAGCCCACCAGGTGGGGACGGCAAGAAGGAAAACTTTTCCCTTTCTTTTCATATTCTCTGGGGGTGCATCATTAAAGAGGCAAACTAGGCATCTTTTCACCTACCTTTCCAAAATGCAAAATGTTACTTTAAGGGTTTCCTTCAGACAATGCATTGATTTAAATGTGGGTTTTTTCCCCCCCAAATATCAAGATTGTTTGCCCTTTTTGGAAAAAAGTTTTAATGGCAATAAACTGAGACACTTAGGAATCGAAAAAGTATTATTTAGGAGGTAAAACTTGAAATGCTGAAGACGAATATTTCCTATCCAATTTGGAAACATTTTAAATTAACCTCCCATTTTTAATTGGATGCCTCCCAATTCCTGCCAAACACAAATCTACTTAGCAGTCAGCATCTGATTTCTAACTAGCATTCCCCTCGACAAATTTCTGAGTTACAAGGTCCCAAATACAAGGCTTATCATGAAACGCTGACACCTTTAAGCCATTTTAACCTGCAAAAGATTAATGCTCGTAAGACCGACAGTGGGGTGAAGCCATGAAACTTGGAAAGCGGCCCCGGAGCCGGGGATGGCTTGGGAGCCAGGCCCAGCACCCTCCGGCCAGCTTGCCGCAGAGATGGAAAGTGAGGCATGAAGGCACGGTGCGGGGAGGATGGGTCCTCTTCCCTATCAGAGTCCAGGCAGGAAAAATGCAGAGCTCTCCAGATTTTAAAAAAGACTATGTCCAGATTGCTAACGACACAGACTACAAGTCTGGGGACAGGAAGTCACAGAGAAGCGCTTTGCTCACAAGAAGGCAACTTACCATCAGAGGGACAAGTATTCCTCAGAAAATCCCTGTGCCTAAGTATCTCTCTGCATGTACGAGGTGGAGTGAGGAAAGGAAACAGACACAGGGCCCTTCTGCAAGAATCCTGTTTAGTCTTATCTGACCCGCCTGACATTTTCATTTGGCCAAAAGTCTTTTAAGACAAGGATGCTGCATCCTACAGCGTTTCCATCGCCTTGACCCGTGCGCTCTGCATAGTCAGAACCTCCCGGGCCACGGTGAAGCACGATGGGAAAAAGGGAAACATCTTCAGTGGCTCACAGGGTTCACGGCAATTGTTTTGGATGGATTGTTTAGATGGACACTGGCCAAGAAAATGTCCAATGACTGTTACTGCTGAAACCCACTGCAACGGCATCACCACGTGGTCCCCAGAGGATAGATGTGCTGTGGTGAGGTGGCCGGGCGAGGGGGGTATGCCTACGGAATGACCGTGCCATCTTAATGGCCCCTTCTTGTAGCTGGTGATGGGTGTGAAGTGTGTGACTCTGGTGGAATGGTTTGTGAGAGGACTTGGGTGTATCATTACCTTCAAGGCTATCCATGTCAGCTTGGGGGAGAAACAGAAAATACAAGATTAATGTTAGATTGCCGAATAGAAGGAAATGAAAAACCAGAACCAGAACCAATGAAACTCCCAACCAAAAAAAAAAAAAAAAAGGAAAAAAGGCAACCTGGCTATCTTCATGCCTTCCATCTTCCAAAATACTTGTCTTATATTTGTCAGTATTTTTTTTTTAAATGCCTTCCGACTTTCTGGTTGTAGCCAACACTTCTTTGGGAGGGGATTAAAAAAAAAAACAAACTCACGTTTTGGAATTAATACCTGCTGAAATCACAGACTTGAAACTTGATTCTGAGTATTGCTCGGGCTAACAACAAGCCAGGATGGTTCCCTGCTGTGGGGCTACAGGGACTGTGGTGTCAGCGTTTACACAATAAACCTTCATTTCCTGGGATCACGAACTCGATCGGCTATAAGCTAAAGAGGTTCCCCGCCCCTCACCGTTAGAGCTTAATCCTAAAGAAACCTGAGAATGGCAACCTGAATCAGACAAATGCTAGAAATAACAAGGGAACAGAATCCTGGATTTCTGTGTGGCTGGTATACATTCCTTAAACAAAAATGTAAGACCTACCGAAAGCACAACCTAATAAAAGGTTCTAGAATCTACTGACAGGACCGAGTTTTATTGTATGAACCGGTCAGGACTCAATTCGGCAATTTTTAACATTTTATCACCACCTAGGTGGTTAGAAAGGTCTAATATTTACTTAATCTCTCTGAGCCTCAGCTTCTTCATCTGCAAAATGGAAATAAAATTGTTTACTTCAGATATTTTTGTAAGGAGAAAATGAGATGATGAGCATAAAAGATCCAGGACGTGCTAGGTGCTCTCTTCCCCATTGATGGGAGCTACATGACCCTGCGGGTAGTTTCAGAAATAGCAATACTGCACGAAAGAGTAACTCAGATACTCTTCCTGCGACACTTAACTAAGGAATACAAAACGGTTTAAGATATTCTGGGCCTCTTCAGATTTTTACAATTCTTCATTTTAAATCGGATAAGAAGAAGCCAAAAGGAAAAACCGCTAAGGATTATGTAATGTATATAATTCAAGGCCAACGATAACAATTAGTATTTACCTACTCCAATCACCATATTAAATTCCCTTGAGTTCTTTAATTACTAAATAGTTTATAGGTAAAATGACTGAGACACAGAGCCTTATTTCAGACACAAATAACTTCCTCCGTATCAGACCAATGCTGCAGGCAGGTGATACCACTAAGAGGCCAACGATCTGAACAAAAATTATTTTGCGGCATTAGTTGCAGGTGGCTTTTTGTTTGCTTGTTTTTGTTTTTTTCCCTTCTGGCACATTTCCCTTTGGTTTTTCTTTTTTTTTTTTTTGCGGTATGTTGGCCTACTCACTGTTGTGGCCTCTCCCGTTGCGGACCACAAGCTCCAGATGCGCAGGCTCAGCGGCCATGGCTCACGGGCCCAGCCGCTCCGTGGCATATGGGATCTTCCCGGACCGGGGCACGAACCCGGGTCCCCTGCATCGGCAGGCGGACTCTCAACCGCTGCGCCACCAGGGAAGCCCTCCTTTGGCTTTTAATCAAGGCAATTCAAAGTCAGTCTTTGGATCAGGCACTGGATGTTGTGCTCTTTGCCGAACCACACACCAGACCCCCCCCAGGCCTGTTTGGATGCTGTGTGAATAAGGCACGTTCCCATGGCGACCCAGAAGCTGGCTCACCTGTTTATATTTTCTGTAACAACGCTGAATGACAGCTGCTGCCACTTCCTGCTGCTCCCGCAAGGGTCGGCCCTTCAAGGGAAAGTGAGGCAAGAAAAGAAATAATGATGTAGTATAAAATATGCAACATTCCCAAGACTTAAATGGAATCATGACTCATTTAATTGACTTTCTCAGAACTGAGACCAGAGGTTTACCAAAATGCAGTGATAAGTTAGTATCAGGATAAATTAAAAAAATGAATTTACAGAATAACTCTCTTATTATTCCTGCTTCTAAATAGAACCATCATATTTGGATGTTAGGAGGCCTAAAACAATATTCATTTTCAAAGTATTTAAAGAATTAGGTATTGCACTATTTGTCCTTATAAATTTCCGCTCTCTGCTGTCTTTCCTAAGATAACACCAAGTCCTCTACTTTTGTTTTTATTTATTTATTTATTTTTGGCTGCACTGGGTCTTTGTTGCTGCGCTCGGGCTTTCTCTAGTTGCGGCGAGCGGGGGCTACTCTTCATTGTGGTACACGGGCTTCTCATTGCGGTGGCTTCTCTTGCTGCAGAGCATAGGCTCTAGGTGCACGGGCTTCAGTAGTTGTGGCATATAGGCTCCGTAGTTGTGGCTCTCGGGCTGTAGAGTGCAGGCTCAGTAGTTGTGGCGCACGGGCTTAGTTGCTCCGCGGCATGTGGGATCTTCCCGGACCAGGGCTCGAACCCGTGTCCACTGCATTGGCAGATGAATTCTTAACCACTGCGCCACCAGGGAAGTCTGGGTCCTCTACTTTTGGATCAATGACTGATGGCTCGTAACACCTTCTTAAGGAGGTCAGAGACTCCTCTGAGAAACTGTGGAAGTCTCTGGACCCTCTCCCACCAAAAATGCACTTTACCATAAAATTTTAGGACAATCAGTCACCAGGCCTCCAGCTAGGAACCCCTGCTCTAGGTCATAAATTCCTTGCGGCAGAAGTGTCAACTTACTTTACATTAATTAGATAATAAATATCCATTATTATTACCAACAGTTCAGATGGTGACAACCATCACACTACTTGTCAGTTTTATTTCACTAAAGCTTCTGACAATTATTAATAATCTCATGGGACCTAATTAATAATGTCAACTAACAATTCTATCGATTCAGAAGAAAAAAAAAGAAACAGCATATGTTTTAGTTTGAACGACTCTGACTTTCCCGACCTTAAGAGCGTCACCGCATCAGGACTCTGTTGTCTTTTACCTTGTACTTCCGGAAAGCTGTCTGGACAAGCCTGGCCGCTTCATAGAGTTCTCTCTGTTCGTGATCAGACAGAGTCAGCTGAGCAAATTCATTCTCCACCTTCTCACTGGTAGACGCACTCAGGAATTCAGACCAGTCTGCGGCGGAGGGAAGGCTGGGTTTCTCGAAAGCTATTTCACTGACTGGTGAGCCTACAGGGCTCAGGCTGGTATTAGAAGAAGGGGTTAGAGGCTCGTTATATGCACTTCTGAAACAAGAAGAGACACAGGGGAGAGAGGCTGGTGATTGGTTTGCATGATGCATTGCACGCTGGTCAACGAGACAAGATGGTACCTACTGTGGACCATGAGGGATATGCCTTCACTCAGTCCAGAGAGCTGCTAAGCAGACTCTGAATGTCCTTCAATTAGTAACTTCACACTGAGCACCTGTTATGAGTTTAGTACTGTGCTAAGTACTAAATCCACTGAGTCCCCTATCCAATCGTGAAACTTCAGGTGAACTGGCGGGAGAACACCAGGATACATTATCTCCTGCGCTCTGACGTGGGAAGAAAAATCACGGGAGAGGTGAGGACATGAGGGGCCCTTGGGAGAGGCAATGGAACTCGTCTTAACGCTTCCTTCCTTCCTTGACAAGGCCATTCATTACACGGAACTCCTCAGATCCAGTGGGCCTCCGGAGCCTCCACGTAAACCCAGGAGCTTGCCCTGGGGAGTGGCCCACAAACGCTACTGACCTGATCTGGGCGGCATTTGGCAGATGGTCTGCGTCAGCTAGGTAACCGGCCAGCCAGCTCATCGTACTGCTGATGGTGGCCGCGTCTGTCCTCTCCAATGCCGGGGACTCCGTGGGCACAAAGTTCTCCTGCTTGATCCGCTCAGGGGTGGCTTCGATGATGTGCTCTGCCAAGGTCATCATGTTCACCTGGGGCCCAGAGGTCAGAGAACACTCAGGTCAGGGTGGCACCTTAGAGGTTATCCAGGCCTACCCCCACTCCCCCCACCGTGGAAAGAAAGAAAGGGGAGAGGGCGGGCTTACACCTCAGTCCAGTGCCCTCCCATCTCATCGTAAGGTTTTCCGATTCACCTGAACGTGCTGAGATCCCAGATCTGATTACCTCCACATCACAGTTTGGTCCCAAACCTTAAGTCTTTGAGAACGTCTGGCTTGTGCCTACTTTCCACTCTCAGCTAGGATCAACCAGTTAAGGATGCTATGACTGGGCAGTCCTGGTCATATTATTGTCGTGACACTACTGGTTACCTGACCACCATCACCCCATTGTGCCTTGCCCAGAGAACCCCAGTTTTGTAGAGAGAGCAACGAGCCAACATCCAGGGGACAGCTCGTGACTGATACAAGCCAACTGTCCTAATCCCCTTCTTGGTTTCCCACCTTCCGTGCACCAAGGAGGGGAGGATCCGTGACCCACTTCTGGACAGGAGACTGCACAGAAGTCTGCTGGGTGGGCTCTGGGCAAAGCTTTTGCTTTCCTGATGAAAGGTATCGATGCACCTGGCCCTTTCCCCCTCCTCTTCCTGCTCTGACTACAGATGAGCTCCAGAAGCTACATTACAACCATAAAGCAACAAGCACGAAGACGAAAGGCAAAAGAACAGAAAATTCAGAAAAAATCCTGGTCCCGGATGGCATTATTGAGCAACTGAACCTCTGGACTTCTATGAGAAAAATAAGTCATTTTCTTATTAAACCCCTGGAGTTAGGTTGCTGGTACCTGCACCCAAAATACATTCCTAATGGATACATTTAGGAATCCTCAAAACTAGGCTGGAGTAGATATATGTGGTCAGAATCAGAGATATGGCCTTGTTTTTAAAAGTTTCCTTGCACAACTCTTGAAAATGGAAGTTGAAATATAGCAGTTTAAGTTTTTAAGTGAATTGAAAATGTTCTGAAAGGATCTATACAAAAATGACAAAATGCTTATCTTACAACATGCGTGAACCTGAAAAACATTATGCTCAGTGAAAGAAGCCAGACACAGAATATGACAGGTTATGATTCCATTTATACAACATTTCTAGAAAAAGAACAATTCTGGGGGAGAGAAATCAGATCAGTGGTTGCCCAGGGCTGGTATGGGAACAGAGAGTGACTGCAAAGGGGCACAGGGAACTTTTGGGGTGTGATGGAAGTGTTCTAAATGGGACCGCGATGATTGCACAGCTGTAAAAATTCACAAAAGTTCATTACACTGGGAACTTAAAGTGAGTGAATTTTATGGTATGTAAATTACACCTAAATAAAACTCTTAAAAACACTTATCTTGGGTAATTTTCTAAATTTTCAACAAAGAACAAGAATTATTGTGACAGGAATAAAAATGAAAACATTTAAGGAAAAAAATATCACAGCTTTTCTTTTCCTTTTATATTGGCTCTCTTGGTTTGTGAGTCAAACAGGAGGAGGTAAGTCCTACCTTGATTTTTTTTCATGAAAGTATTAAAAAGTGGAATTTCTTGAGACTGGAGGTTATAGCTATCTGTAGTCACTCCTTTCCCAAACCCTCTATTTTATAAACACGTGTCAGTGTAAGAACACCTTAATATCATAATAAATGCAACATTTTGAGATACCAAGTAGCTGATTTTTCATTGTGATAGCTACAAAAGGCAATGGAATTTAAATGACTTTCAGGTTTTTTATTCAAATGATGTTGGGTCTTTATTTAAATTCTCTTTGGGTCCTAGTATATGAGCAGTGTTCATAAATGGTCTTGGATATCTAAAAAGAACACTGATATGTATATTTACTATGTGTACTCATACATCTACATAATTATATATATATATCATACGTTAAATATACATAGTCAAACTTTCTAATTGTATTGTCAATATTTTCATGTCCTCTTCAGACTTGAGCTGACAAATTTTGAAACAATTGTTTTAGTCTCACACTATGATTATAGTTATGGTTCCACATTTCTTCAATCTTTACTTGCTTTAATATTTAGAAGCTATGTTGTTAGGTGCATAATGGCTCATTACAGTCATATCGTTTTGACAAATTATATATATATATACTATTTGCCTTACCTGTACTTTTTATCTTTTTTCTTTTTCTTTTCATTTGTCTGTTATATCTTTACCTATCACATCATTTTCATTCTTTCTGTTTCATTTCATTTAAATTCTTTTACAAGCAGTATATAGTATATTTTGCTTCCTTTTTTTTTTTTTTAACCCAATCTGAGAATCTTTTAATAGAATTAACAGTTTCCAAAGTGGGAATAAGTCATGTTTGAAAATATTCCTATAATATTATGTTATACAGTATTATTTCTGTTGTTGCTTTTTTCTTTATTACCATTACTGAACTCTTCCTGAATGGGCCAAATTTTCTTTTTTCCCCCCTTAAATGACATAGAAATTCTGTAGCCTGTTTTAACACTACCTATTAACTTGACATTTCTAACAAGCATATTTCAGGCTACACATATCTATCGATATAATAATTGGAACAAACTTTGATTTTCCCTGGACAGGGGAACTGCTTTAATACACTTTTACCTTCCTTGCCCTACCTCCCTGGTTTTGTTAAAACAATTTAGAATCTTAGCTCTAGGTTATTTTTTGAAACATTATTCCTCTTTATTTAAAGAATTGCTTATCGTGCAACCACACTATTAATAATTATTCAGAGATATCAGTATTACTGGTTTTACTGTTCACTCCTCCATGAACTCTGGCTTGCCATTTCTTGAATTATTTCATTAATTTTAATTGTTAATTTTTTCATTTGGCTAAAATGCTCCTTTAGACTGCTGCTTTTTTCATAGGTATGTGGTCTTAAATTAGTAAAATATTCTCTGAAGTTTCAGTGAAAATATAAAGTAGATTTTTTTTTAGGTTATTTTCTATTTCCTGCACCAATTGTTTCAGTAAGGGCCAGTTGCTCTAAAGCTGTGCTATCCAATGGCTATTCGAACTTAAATTAATTAAACTTAAGTAAAATTAGAAATTCAATTCCCGATTCACACTGAATACATTTCCAATGCTCAGTACCACACACGGCCACTGGCTACCATATTGGACAGGGCAGACATAGAATGTTTCCATCACTACAGAAAGTTCTGGTGGACAGCACCGTTCTAGATGCTCATCTTAGTTCCCCTCTTTTAAGCTGCTGATTTTCATAGTCTGGTGATTTATTATTATATGTTTATATTTATAAATGTTGTTCTAGATTGCTCAGAATTAATATCTAGTAGGGGCTCCATCAGAAATTGTTTAAAACAGGGCTTTAACTATGGCAGGTCAAATCCAGCTAGCTGTTTGTGTAAATAAAGTTTTATTGGCACATGGCCCACTCATTTGTTTAATATTGTCTAAGGCTGCTTTTGTGCTACAAAGGCAGACTGAATAGTCATGACAAAGTCTGTATTGCCCACAAAGCCTGAAATATTTACTATTTGGCCCTTTCCAGAAAAAATGTGCCAACCCCTCATCTCAAATATTATTTGATTTCCTGCGGAAGGCCTCCCCACAATTGTAGTGGTTGGTAGATCAGTAGCGGGGCGCCCACCACGCACCAGGGATGGAAACATACTGGTATGCATGCATGATTCTTGTCCTGTGCTAAACAGTGGGGGCTGGTAGGAAGGGTCCCCTGGGATGCAATGAACAGGAGTGTTTTAGCAACCAGACCTATCTAGGAATGCTGTCTGGGATACGAGATCCCCATCATTTCTACAGGCACAGGTGCCCTAGTGAATTTCTTATGGGAGTTTTCTCCTTTTATATTTGTTTTGGATTCTATCGATGGGAAGAGGGAAAGAGAAGAAGTCAGACACATGTTCTCAGGATGCTCATTTTGTCCTCCCCATAGGGTATATTTTAATTAATGGAATTTGCTTGTTTAAGAGCCTAACCTCAAATTTACTTCAGTATGTATTCTCTTAATCTATAACAACTGTGAAGCCCTAAAAGGATCCTGGATTTATCATAAAAGCAGTCAATTATCAGCTTTAGGGAGATTCCACTGCACCTCATGAGAGCCTCAGACGATATATGCCTTTACAAGGGCTAGAGGCTTGTTGTGCTTATCAAATCACTTACGTCATTCAAATTCTACCCACAGGCCTCCCGTTTTAGCCATTAGCAGGCTGTGACTCTAACTAGTACTTAAACAGCAAAATCAGTCACCCTGGGTGCAAGGAGGAAGCAAAAGACTTATTGTAGGAGTTTTGAGGAGCTAGTACAGGGCTCTACTGAGATCTGGGTCCCTGGTATTTAGGCCCTGTTCACAATGCTTGACTCACAAGTGAAAATGTGGCCCAAGTAAAGAAGACACTCCAAAATTCTTATATATAAGCCCAGGCTTCGCACCCTTCACCGGTGAGAAAATGACATGACCTCTGGAAATTGGCAGTAAAGATCAAGGAAGCTAGGACGGATGGACCAGCCTCTGCAGGTTTGCCTTCCCCACGCTCACCTGTATGTCATCCACGGGTTGTGAGCACTCCTCACTTTCTGCACTATCACGGTAGGGCCCCAGCTCTGTGTTCACCACCTCTCTGTTAGCCATCATCAGGACACTCATTGGTTCCCGTGGACGCACCTGTGAAGGCGTTGCATCCTTTCCTACACTGGTCCCCTTCGGACTTCCAGTCACCTGTACTGTAGACACACCAATGTAAAGATCTTTGGAATTCCACTTTACTACCGGCTGAGATCCAGAGGCTTGGAATCCTGCAGTCTCTGGAGTGGGAGGGGAGATTTCCCGGCTGTAGTCCCTCACTCCTTCACTGGGGCTGATTGTCTCGGGGACAGATTGCTTAGAACTAGGGCTCTGCTTCCTGATATTTGGCTGTTCCAGACTCAGTGCAGTGGAAAGCAGCTTCTCCTGCCTTGCCTGGAAGTACTCAGGGTTCAATTTATGCTTTTTGGGAGCTGGATAATCTTTGTGGCTCTCACTGCTGTAGTAATTAGAGGGTTCAGACCGAGGTCTTCTCAGCTCTGAAAAGTACAGTAGAAAGGATAGTCAGGACAGGCGATACAATTAGGAATCCTAAAGAATTAACACTTTCTCTATGCCTGAGAGACACGAAGTGCAAAGCCAGAACTCAAGACATGTCCCTAACATTTCAGTATTCCCCAGCAGCATATACTATATTCAGATAATCCTCCTCCAAAATCTGTAGTTCTTTCTTGCACGAACATAGATTTTTTTTTTTGCTACTTTCTGCAGTTTTGGGGTGGTATGGGCCGGGGGAAGCACTAGGCATTCTAATAACTAAAAGGAAAATTAGAAACACTAAAAAAAAAAAAACCCCAAACCCTTAAATGTATGTGAATATCCTATGGACTTTTCTGAGGGTAGCTGCACGAAAGCAAAAGGGAAATCTGCCAAGTTCTGAGATGTAATCATTTAAAATGTTTACCTGGATTGGTACTTGCAATGACGGTGACTCCTTTGGGTATTTCTGGGGAGTGGATTGTTTCGCTGTGCCACTGGGTCATCCAGCTCTCTGCACTGGGTTCCTCACTTGCAGGACAGTGGATTCTGGGGTTCTGGCCAAGCTGAGCCTGCTCGTCCCTCTGCAGGTGCTCCAGACACTCTGCTAATTTCACATGACCCCTTGACCTGGCAATTCCCAAAGGCAGCCTTCCTAGAGAGTCCGGAATAGAGATAGCCCGACGGTCCCACTTGTACAGCACGACAGCTGCTTCTAAGTGCCCGAGAGCACATGCCCACATCTGAAAAAAGAGAGAGACAAAGCGAGCTTCCTCAATACGAGTTAAAAAACATATTTGACCTTTGCCATTGCTGCCAATTGACTAATTGGTCCTCGGCACCGATCTCAATGGGGCCATAAAACGTTACCATTACAAAGTAGCTCCGATACATGTCGTATGTTCAATGAGGGATAATACAAAGGGAACCAAGCACATCCCTATGCCAGCCTAGAAAAACAGTTCGGGGAATAAATGAACCCATTTCTTACCAGAGGAGTACAGGAGAAGTGGTCCACATTCAAGGGGTCAACCTCCAGTTCCAAATCAATGCTATCTGCATGCTTTGTGCTGGAACGAACAGCACCAGAAATTACTGCACAATGAATCCACGTTAAAAAATACCAGAACGTTATGAAACCCACAGAGATGAAACCAAACTGGGCGTGTCACATTCCTGGCGTGAAGAAATAGAGCCCCAGACTCCCTAGGGTGCTCTGGGCTCTCTGTTTTGCCAGAGGCCCAGGGGAAATAAAAAGTCCAATGTTGGGCTTCCCTGGTGGCGCAGTGGTTGAGAATCTGCCTGCCAATGCAGGGGATACGGGTTCGAGCCCTGGTCTGGGAGGATCCCACATGCCGCGGAGCAACTGGGTCCGTGAGCCACAACTACTGAGCCTGCGCATCTGGAGCCTGTGCTCCGCAACGAGAGAGGCCGCGACAGTGAGAGGCCTGCGCACCGCGATGAAGAGTGGCCCCCACTTGCCACAACTGGAGAAAGCCCTCGCACAGAAACGAAGATCCAATACAGCCAAAAATAAATATATAAATTTATATAAAAAAAAAAAAAAGTCCAATGTTTAGTTCAGCATCTCACTCAGGACTTCGCAGGCAGAAGTTCATAGAACTTCTTGGAACTGTCCACAGAGAGAGCCCTTTGCTCTCAGGCTACCACGCTCCCCGAATGGCCAGATTTCCCTCCACCACTAGACACCCTAAGAGGAACGCCTGCTGAGGGGTGAGGATGACAGCGTCCGTCTGGCCCCAGCCTTACCGCCATTTGATCAGGGTCTGGATGAGGGTGGCGTAACCCTGGGCTGCGGCCAGGTGGAGGAGGGTCATTCCACGGAAAGTCTTTGAGTGGATCAGATGCTTGGACTTTGCCCAGCAGGCCCGGCTCATCATCTTCTCGCACACGACAACCACGCGGCTCTCAAAGCAGCTCCCCAGGGTCCCGGGGCCAGATGCGCACTGTAATGAAATGGCACGTGTTCCGATCGGAGGACCAAAGGCCCTGTACCAAGTCAGCATTCGGATGCCGGGGTGGGAAACCAGTGCGTTATGATTTGCAGCGGAAAACGGGAAGCATGAAGCTGAAAATAAGACATCTCGAAAGGGAGAACAGAACGTGCTGCGTCCAGCTCAGCGGCACATGTCCGCAGCCGGGCACACGGTAATTTTCTGTAACTCTAAGGACGTCAGAGTCCGTCTGCTGCAGCTGACGCTCTGATTGTGAGCTTCGTGCTGATCCAGCTCAGGGAAAGTATATACGAACAGGAAACGTGGCCCCAGCCTCCCAGCTGAAGTAAACACTGCAGGCAGTAAACTGTCAGGGGAGAGTAAGGCAGGGTAACGTATGCTCCCACCACCGGCTGCCTGGAGCTCCTGACTGCCCTGCTCCTTCTGAAGGAGAATTAAGTCACTTAGATGGGGATCTTTCTCCCTAAAGAAGCACTTAGAAATATCCAGTAATACATTTGCAACAACATGGATGGACCTTGAGGGCGTTACATTAAGTGAAATAAGTCAGAGAAAGACAAATACCGTATGATGCCACTTATATGAGGAATCTTCACACACACACACACACACACACACACACACACAAGCCTCCTGACCTCATAGATACAGAGAACAGCCTGATAGTTGCCAGAGGTGGGGGGAGGAGGTGGGAAAAATGGGTGAAGGGGGTCAAAAGTTATAAACTTCCAGTTATAAAACAAATAAGTCCTGGGGATGTAATGTACAGCATGGCAACTATAGTTCATCAGACTGTACTGCATACTGGAAAGTTGCTAAGACAGCAGATCTTAAAAGTTCTCAACACAAGGAGAAAAAGTTTGTAACTATGTGTGATGATGGATGTTAACTAGGCTTATCATGGTGGTGATCTGGCAAAATGTATACAAATACCGAATCATCTGGCTGTGCACCCGAAACTAATATGATATTATATGTCAATTATATCTCAATTGAAAAAACAGATTTTAGGGCTTCCCTGGTGGCGCAGTGGTTGAGAGTCCGCCTGCCGATGCAGGGGACACGGGTTCGTACCCCGGTCCGGGAAGATCCCACGTGCCGCGGAGCGGCTGGGCCCGTGAGCCATGGCCGCTGAGCCTGCGCGTCCGGAGCCTGTGCTCCGCAACGGGAGAGGCCACAACAGTGAGAGGCCCGCGTACCGCAAAAAAACCCAAAAAACCAGATTTTAAAAAATCCAGTAATAATCCAGTCCTTTATATAAAACAAAAAGGACACTGGGGAAGGCATGAGAGACCTTGAAATTTAAGCGTTCTTGCTAACCACAGAGGCACACGAGAAAGAGAAATTCACTCATGTTAGCCACCTGGCTTTCTTCTCTTTTTTGTAAAAGGAGGTTGTGAAAGAAGAAAAATAAAATCAAAGTTAGGAGCCTCAACAGCTTATCTGAGTCTCTGCTCTAGCACTCCCACACACCCTCCCACCCCACCCCGAATAAATGGCCCTTCTGGTCTAATTCTCCTCTCTGGTATTATTTTAAAGGTACTTTGTCCAGTTACAAACCCCATGAAATTCAATTACTACAGAAACGCTGTTGCTCCTCATTGTTTTCTGTTTTGAAATCTGGAAAAAAAAACACCTGCAAAAATAAAAAGTCAGAGGACGGTTAATGTCACCCTCACTAGAACTGTCGTGACATGTTTAGAGGAGCACAGCCGGGCAAGCCCGACCTTCAGCAGAATGACCTTGACTCGAAAGGCCCAGACAGACACATTCAGGGGCACACGGAAGTCACTGGGTAGTGGGCAAAGAGGAAATTTCTTTGCATTAACAAAAACAGCTCCATCTCTATCACATAAGGTGGACACAGATATCTATCGAAGCCAGCTTAAACTGACGAAAGAGTGTTCAGTAGCAGTTAATATGGGATCAGACAATAGGCCAGTTGCCAGATAGGTGAGCTATAAAATGATACTACTCTCCATTCCCTTTATGCAGCCTTTGTTGGTGAAAGAAAAAGGGTTTCGTGGGAATCTCTTATTTTAGCCATGACATAGATAGTAAATAATGTTTACTTCTTTTTATAAAACAGTAGTATCAGGTGGACAGGAAGCCTTAATAATATTTTCCTTTGTGCCAAGTCTTTCCTTTTCCACTGATTTCTGAAGATAGGAGAGAAATAAGAAGGAAATTCCGGGAAAAAGGTTGGTTTCGGGGGTGTGGTACCGTATGCTTTGTTTTCATCTATTGTGATGAAATAGATGTGTTTCATCTATTATTAAAAATATTACTAATACTTGATATTTACAAGGATCATAAAACTCCAAATGTTCACTTTAAAATATAATTGTTCAGAAAAAAATCAACATTCATCTTGAAGAGAAAGAGGGGGAATTATTTGAGGTTTTTAGGTGATGTCTCAGTGGTGGAGGTAAGAAACACCATCAGTCCCTTTAAATTCATTCTAGGGGACTTCCCTGGTGGTGCAGGGGTTAAGAATCCGCCTGCCAATGCAGGGGAAAACGGGCTTAATCCCTGGTCCAGGAAGATCTCACATGCTACGGAGCAACTAAGCCCGTGCGCCACAACTACGGAGCCCACGCTCCTAGAGCCCGTGCTCCGCAACAAGAGAAGCCACCGCAATGAGAAGCCCATGCACTGCAACAAAGAGTAGCCCCCGCTCGCCGCAACTAGAGAAAGCCCGCGCGCAGCAATGAAGACCCAACACAGCCAAAAAAAAAAAAAAAAAAAAATTTAATTAATTAAAAAAAATTTATCCTAGGGCCTCCTGAAAAATAATTTCTGCCTAGGAAACTTCCCCAAAATGAAGCTCCTAAATGAAATTGACATAAAGCCTTCAAGACTAATGGGACTCTAAAATAATATTTGATGATTTCCCTGTACCTGACAATAATAATGCATTCATCACGGAACTGATGAAAAAGCATTTGTAACAACGACAGAATGTATAATGTTCTACTATTCTGCACTGAAAAATTACAGAAACAGTTTCTCTGGGCCCTTATAAAACAATTATGTTTTCTATTTATACTTAAGATAAAGATAGAACACAAAACACAAAATAGGTTCTAATTGAACTCTGAGCCCAGCGAATCTGAGTCATCTCTTGGCCTCTGTTCTGTCACTGGACGCCCGCCCTCCCGCTGTCAGATAACTGCAGGGAGTTCTGAGGTCAGTAAGTGATTCGAGGCTTAGGAAGGTGAACCACTGAGAAGCCCCACAGTCCAAGGCTTCTTCCCTAACACAGAGTTGAATACTCAGAAACACAGGGACTACAAAGCACCCCCCTGCCTCTTGCCTCTTCCAGGAAGGGTGCCAGCAGCAGCAGAGAAGGGACTTGTGATCGACAGCCTCGCACGTCAATAAAACATTAGACACCATGAAAGGCGACAGTCCGCGCAGACTCGTACCTGAGCTTGGCTTCCTCCGTTCCCACTACCGCTGCCCCCTCCGCTGCTCCCTCCTCCGCTCCCCTGCTTGTGCTGCTGGGACCCGGTCATCTCAGCCATCCTCCTTTCCATCTGCTCCAGTCGCTCAAGGATGGACATCCTGAACTGGTTATCTAGGGCAGAACAAGGAAGAGTGAGGTTGTGTTCTGGAAGAAGGGCCATTAACACGTGGCCTAGGCGAGCCTGCAGGACGGGCATCCAAGATGGCCACCGACCCAACCAAATCACCGGGCTTTGTCCAGGCTGGATTTCTCCAGCACGGTAGTGACCCTGACACTTCACATAAGACTGCAGCCTCGACAGCAGCCCAAAGTTCTCAGCGAAAGGAACAGAAAACCCGTTTTTGTCAAGGTCCTGGTTTCAGGTTCCTGGACCTCATTTCTTTGGCAAATTCCCCAGTGGAAACCTTGAAGAGAGATCTGGTTGAAAGGCCCCTAGAGCAAACAGATGAAATGAATACAATTTAATTTAAATCACTGGAAGAAAGCAATCACTATGGGAAAGAAGAACACACACAACCCCACACAGATATAGATATCTAGATTTTTTTTTTTAAGTAGTATCTTTTACCCACACACTGGAAAAAAAAAAAAAGATTTTCTGATCCAGGCTGTAGCCACAGACACACACATACATTAGAGCTGGGGTTAGGTAAGAGTAAATGCAAAGGCCCTGAGGCAGAACGTTCCAGGAGCAGAAGCCATGTGGCTGGACCACAGCAGAGAGGAGAGCAGAAGATGAAGCTGGAGAGGCGGGTAAGGACCAATCAGGACACAGTTAAGAACACTGGCTGTGCCATATAATAGTTGTGTAACTTTGAACAAAACCTTTGGTGTCTCAGTTTCCTTAACTCTTCTTTTTTTTTTTTTTTGTGGTACGCGGGCCTCTCACTGTTGTGGCCTCTCCCGTTGCGGAGCACAGGCTCCGGACGCGCAGGCTCAGCGGCCATGGCTCACGGGCCCAGCCGCTCCGCGGCATGTGGGATCTTCCCGGACCGGGGTACGAACCCGTGTCCCCTGCATCGGCAGGCGGGCTCTCAACCACTGCGCCACCAGGGAAGCCCTCCTTAACTCTTAAATGGGGACAGTGTCTGTCCTTACCTCCGAGGGGTGTTGAGAGAATTTAATGAAGTAACAGATGAAAACGCTCAGGACATGGGTAAGTCCCAGATAAGTGTGCCAGCCATCAGCATCACCTTGTGGCATGTGAATGAAATGTCTTGGGAAATTGATCAAACACCTGTGACAACATAGTTCTTCCTCAAAATTGCTAATGGCGTCACTATTTTCAAAATACAGCCAACTGAATCATGAAAAGGAGTACCCTCGGAGAAGAAATATTTTATCAGCGTTCCTTGCCATCCTGACTGTAAATCCTGACACTAGTGGGTAAAGCGTATCGATCCTACGAGAGATTAAAAAGTGGACGGAGCTAACACTTACCGAATCCGTGCCAGTCACTGTGTAAATCACTTGACAAATGTTAACTCATTTACCCTCACGGCCATTGTGTGAGGCTGGTCCTGTCACTGTCTTCATTTTACAGATGAAGACACTGAGGCATGAAAAGATACCTGGCTTCTCCGTCTCCAGGACCCGGAGCTTAGCCCCCACGTGACAACAGGAAGGGAAAGTTATGGGAAGAGAAGATGCACAAGGATTAGACGGTCTTACCCGAGGGAACAGAACTTTTTTCTCAAAGTTAAAAGAGAGTAAATACGTTTTCAATTCGGTATTGAAAATGGGGAAGTTTTCAGTACCGAATGTCAAATTGATCTCACTCTTCTAAACCACAAAAGCAAGAGGAGGTAGACTGCTTTTCAAGAACTGTGGTATTATTTTCTTAGTAAGCTATTTCCAGGAACAACATGAGAGGAAAAAATCCTTCCTCTTTAAAAGTGAAAGGTAACGTCTCTCTGTTCCAATTTCATGCAGACAGATGTGACGAACACTGAGGACCCTCTAAGCATCTCAGTGGCACAGTCACGGATGGGGGAGTAACCCTGAATGGATCTGCTTGTGATGCACTGGCCATGGCCGTGGTCATCCTGTGACCACTAATGGAAAACAAAGTGACTTCAGAGATGATTTTAGAATCCTTACTCCATGCCCTCATTAGAAAATGGAAATTTTGTAGAATGTGGGACTTCTCCATCTGGAGCCAACTGAGGACAAAGAATTTTACCTTTCAAAAAGAGTGTGATCCGGGCGTCCCTGGTGGCGCAGTGGTTGAGAGTCCGCCTGCCGATGCAGGGGACACGGGTTCATGTCCCGGTCCGGGAAGATCCCACATGCCGCGGAGCGGCTGGGCCCGTGAGCCATGGCCGCTGAGCCTGCGCGTCCGGAGCCTGTGCTCCGCAACGGGAGAGGCCACACCGGTGAGAGACCCGCGTAACGCAAAAAAAAAAAAAGGTAAGAAAAAAAGAGTGTGATCCCAAGCGGAGCAGCAGTTATCCTTCGTGGTATGTTTATAAACTCTCCCTGCTTCCTGCTGATCCTGCTAGCCAGACAACCACTCATCTCTGAACCCACCCAGAGACCCTCACTCATCCCACTGAAACAGCTTAAGCCTCTATAGCCATGTTCTGATGATTTCTTCTGCCAGCCTGCAAATCTTGCATCTATTAAGTGAGTGTTCAGAATCCGATTCGCGTCTCTCGGAGATCGGTTTGCACTTGTCTGGAGCACAGTGGCCAAGATTAACATGCCACGTCATGCCAAGGGGCAGAAGGGCACAGAGCTCGCCACCCGGCTGTGCTCAGCCCGTCGGGGTGGCTCTGTTCTGGCTGCGGCGGTGACAGTGCAGGCAGCCCCGGCTCGTCCCCCCAACTCCACCCATCCCCCACCCATCCCCTGCCAAGCGTGGACACTGCAGACCGACCCTCCCCGACATCGCGGAGCCAGGCCCTGCCAATGCATCTCCCCGCCAAAACACTGTCACCACGACGCCTTGTCTGCCCCAGGGGTCACTGGCTCCCTGCTTCCGGGCTGCGTGTCCAGCTTCGGCGCCACAGCGGGCTGTGCAGTCAGCTCTTGCGTGTGATTAAGCTGCTCTGAGAAGCACTTCGTGAAGATACTCAGAGGCGGTTTTTTTGCCTCTTAAGAAAATTATATCGTGCAGAACGGCATCTCTGAGCCTCTTGACTCCAAAGGGGGGAGGTAGTGATGATTAAAACATGAAACAACTGAGCTGGCATCCCAGAGAGTCAGGTCTGTGCCACCCTGTGAATCAAGAATCGGAGGCTTTCTGATCATACTTCCTTTCCTCTGTAAGGCTTCCTCCGATGGAAAAAATGATGGTGTCCAACTCTCCATGACTGGCAAGCCAAAAGCAACAACTTGATGCTTGTTTCGGGCTTTACAGCTTTATTAACTAAAACATTATTGCAAAACACTTGGCAATTTCAGAGCTATCGCTCATCTTAATTGTATATTGTGTGAAATTATACGATGAGGGTAATACAATTAGAAGCAAAAAACTTTTTCTGATGAAAAAAGTACATTTGAAGATCTATTTGTTCACGCACAAATATTTATTGAGCACCTACTGTGTACCAGGCACTGGGGGATGGCTTAGTGAAGAGATCCCTGTGCTCCTTTGTTGGCCAACAGATAATTTCTGCAGGCTGAATGAACCCGGGTTGTTAAATTAATGCACTGTGGAGGCGGGGAGGAGAGGAAAACAAATAACGTACAGATTGAAGGGGCTGATGAATTTGGCTGCAGTCTTGCCCACGATGCTTCAAACAGAGCCAACGGTGATGCAGCTTTGAGGGGTTGCAAGCCCCCTGTCCTTAGGACAGTCTGAGTGAAGCGACTGGACTGCTCCCTTGTGAGACCCGGCTGCACGGAAAGTAAGCTGAGGGCACCCACTTCCCGAAGCACGTGAGCCTCCAGGGTTATACGTCTGGGTCCCCCCTGCGGCGGCAGTGGTGTCTGGGTGCTCACCCTCCGGCTCGTGCCCGCTGCAGGCAGTGTGCCACCCGAGTGGAGGCGTCTGCTCAGCCTAGTGGTTCTCAGGTGCCAGCAGGCATCAGAATCACCCAGTGGGCTTTTTGAAACACACTGGTGGGGGCAATGCCCAGCTTGCTTTGGTGTTAGTGTTGGTGTTGGTTTTGCTAGGTTTGGGTGAGCCTAGAGGGTGCATTTCAAACACGTTCTCAGGTGACGCTGATGCTTCTGGGCTGAGACCACATTTCAAGAACTGCTGCTCTAAGACCCCAGCCTCCTTCCTCAAGAATGAATCCTCTTTCCACCCCAGTGCTTGTTAAAGAAGGACCCCAGGACCACCTGCTCGAGCAGAAGCACGGGTTCCCACCCCATGTGGACATGCAAAATGTCACCTCCTGTACATCATACCCGGTCCATCCACACGGGCTCTGCCAACAGCATTGGGCTGTGCATCTTCTCAAGCACACGGCTAATTCAGACCTGGCGACACTCGAAAACGATTTAAAATCCACCTCCTTGCACTGCTCTCTGCAGGCACTCCTCTCTCATCCCCATCAGATCTTGCCTCTTTATTACTTTCTTTTTCTTCTGAGTGGGATGTCTTCCCAGGTGCCTGTCTTTGCCACCTGCTTTTCTCTAAAGCAGTTTATTTACTTGTGTGGTTTCAGGGAATGAGATCTTTCAACTATCATGCAGCAATTCCTTCCCACTACATTCAAGACACACGCACCCACCCACCTGTACCCCAGACAAAAGGTAAATGACGCTGATGGCTTTGCAGCAAGTCTGGCTCACGGTTCATTCCAAGCCTCTTCCCGAGCCTGTTCGAGCTGCACCCTTTTTAGCAGAAGCAGCATTTCTAGACTGGGCAGCGATGACATAGTGGAAAGAACACTGGAGTAGAGAGAAGAGCTCCAGGTTTAATCCTGTCACTGTGTGACTGTGGAAAAATAATGACCATTTTGCACCTCAATTTTCTCTGTAAAATGGGAATATCACTATCTATGCTGCCCGTGAAGATGAAATAAACTGAATTTTTAAAAGTGGTCAGACTCTCTTAAGTCTGAACTACTATTGGACAGGGACCTTTTACCCAGTCATACCTCTGGAACATTAAAAAAAAATACATTTAAAAAATTTTTTTGAATAATTGAGATTCACAG